TATAGAAAGTATTTAGATGATATAGTACTATATAGTGTAGATTACACTTTAAATATCATATAGTAACTAAGTATTTTAATTTACACTAGATAGTATTTTTATTAATTATATAATTTGTAAAAAACTACTTAGTTTCGAATAGGTTGTTTTATTATTATATTAATTTTTTTTAATTTTAATATATAGTGATAATCAATTAATTAATGATAAAAATTCTGACAAGTCAGATATAGAAATCGAACTTGATATATTAATAGTCTCAGAACAACTTAATAAACTACTACAAACATCATAGAATGAAAAGCAAAAAGAAATAAAAATAACTAGAAGAATGCTTATTATCTAATAATGATCTACTATTTAAAGATCATTGGTCAATTGAGCCTTTTGTTACTACTACCAAAGGGCTATGTGATATGGTTAAGGCCACAAGTTACTTTTCTTTTCAGGAATATTCAGAAAATTGGGCTTATAGTATCATTTTTAGATCTTCAAATTAAAAATTTAAAATTTCTTAATGACAAAACTATAAAAGCAACAATAATTAATAAAGTACAAGCACTTTGTACTGAGGAAGAAGATTATCAACCTATAGTTGAACCTAATGAATCATTTATGTCAATTTCTGAACCTAAGACAACTAATAGTTTAATTTTAGCATTATATAATAGTAAAGAATTAGATGACTAAATTTTCGAAGAGACTAAAGTTGATTGTTATTTTTGTGAATCTATTGAGAAAAAAGTTATAATCTATTAATATAGTGAAAAGATAGGTCTGCAAAATATTCTTTACTATCAAGTCTGTTTCGAAAATACTTGTCTGTTTTGATAATATTGATTTCTTCAAAGCAAGTTTTTTCAAATACTAGATTATATATCACAGCATTATGCAACAGGCTTTATCTAAATATAGTTAAACATATAATGTTTTTTAAATACAATATGCAACATTTTCTTATTTTTAAACTGAATGAATAATAAATGCAAGTTAGTGTTTACTAAATAAAGAAGTAAATTAAATTTAATATTGTATGTAGTATCTATTTTAAAAATATACAGGCTATCAATGAAATAAGGTTAAAGCTAGTTTGTAGTTTGAAAAAAGTATATAAATAGATAAAATTTGTATAGTGAATTACATAAGGGTACAAACATGTTATTTTTATTGTAATGAATGATAACAAATATAATTTATTTTAAGCTAATATAAATATTTACATCAATATTAAAATAGTTATTATTTATTGTTAAAACTAAAATATTGATTTTATATGATAGAAAAGCAGACAAAAATATACTAAATTTTTGATCAAATGAATTGAGATTCTTCAAATTATATTAAAATA